ACAAACTTCAAAACGCTACAGAATATTTACTATTGAATATTAATAAGATATTTTTTTACTAAAATTTTTCTTAAATTCTACTCTACAAAATAGCTATCTTAGATTTTTTTTTTACATTTTATTTAAAATTTAAAAATAATTAATATTTTTAATAAAATGTAAAAAAATTAATTATTGAGATATAGCTATAGACCTAACGTATAACTATTATTTAAAAAAAAAATCAGCTAAAAATATTAACTGGATCAAAAGTTATTTAAGTTGTCAGTGAGTGGTGGGCCACCCTGTATATATACAGGGTGATTTTTTTTATCATAACTCACTCAATTACTTACAGAATAATAATAATTTAAACATTTTTTTTTATTACTATCTTTAGTTACACATTATTCTTGAATTATTAACTGTGTAATACTTTTTAAGTTCATCCCTTATGCCTGGTAAGGGTGTGAACTTTGTTTTTTTAAATGGTAATCGAGCGGGCAGCGTTTACATTTTCAACGTACGGCGCGCCTAGTTGTCCGCTTGCGCGCGTAACTTCCCCCGGTCGTCCGCCATCAGATTCGTCGTGTGATGTGCGTAGCTTGAGGTTCACCGGATGTTCCTCCGGTAAAGGCGCTACGACGGGCCACTGATTGTTCGCGTCGAGCCTTCTTCGCTGACCCTGTCCGTGGAGTTGTCGAAAACCCCCACTTCGGGTTCGCGTACCGGAATTTCGCTATCGAGCGGCACACGGGATGGTAAAATTTCGGTAGCTGGATTCCTCCCTTCGCTACGTAGGTTTTCCTCTAGCCGAATCAGCGTGTTGGGTTTCGTCGCGTACCATGGTAGTTGTCTGAAAGCGCAATTCATTTGTGCTAATGATTTCCCCGACATATTGACCGTGAATATTATGTTCATTTACAAACCTTAATAATCAAATATATTTAGCGGAGATATTTCCATGTACGGTCAAATTTGCTACTGCAGTAAAAAACAAGTTTTATTATTATTGCTATTGTTGTTATAAATTACCGCGATAAGATGGTACGGGGCCGTCGTATATGATATGGCAGCGAGTGAACAATAATAATAACGGTTACCTGGGAATCGGCCGCTTTGTCAAGGTCAGACGAAAATGTACTATTTTTATCTACCAAAAGACTGTAACTATCGGCCGGAAATTCACTTTTTGTCGATATCAATAAGGTCTTTATAACAAACTGTAACTAACACTTTTCAACGACAACACTTACGGCGGATTATATTAGATAAACTGCTCCAACTTTATTTTTATAAAAAAAAAAAATTTCCCAGAAACCAGGCTAAATCTAATCCCGCTAGCACGTAACTGTGAATAACCCAGGTAAAATTTCACTGCTGTCACCAGTGAAATTCGTTCAAATAACTATATGAACAATAAAATTTGAAAGGGACACTTCTCCGTTCCAAGTTAAAACTAAAATCTTATACAATTAGAAATAAAACTGAATTAATTATACAATATAAGTTTATACTCATGACAAGTATTTAATATATATATCTATATATCTTTATTGCGAATCGAAAGGCCAGGCACAACAGAAAAACAAAGAAATAGATGACAACAGTAACCAGAACCAATAAGATCGACCAGTTAAAGTATATGTCGTGTTACGTATCCAGTAGCACGCACTATCACTATATAGATATATATATATATATGAGGAAAATACGCTTGTCCCAATCGGTTGTTTTTGTTTTATATTGAGAAAAATATTAACACAGTTATGTAAAGGCACAGGTAAGAAATATGACTTTTTCCAAGTCGCACCTGAACACTAATTTAAATCGTAGGAGAGGTACACTACCAAAAAAAAAAAAGAAAACTAATCAGTTACGGTGTACGTCGAAAACGGCACAGAACGCAATATCCTTAATCCATATTCGGCGGCGGCCTTATCACGGTGTCAAGGGCGGGGAGACGACCGATTACAACCGATTGTCATCTTAATAGCTGGACGACTGATATCGAGAGAGACACGAGTGAGCGTCAGCCTAGCGCGACGGATGGTGCCGTGTCAAACCTTAAGTAATTCCCATTTATTTGTTATAATATTTTTGATATACTGACTTTTTACCCCTTTATGGGATTCGAAATAAACTTTTTTAAAAAAAATCAACTTTTTCAACTTAACGTTTGTAAATGTTCCGGAAATACTGCGTCCTATAAACATATGTCATATTAAAACATATGATACGTACTAAAAAGTAAATAAAAAATTTTCCCGATGAACTGTCTTTTTTATGCAATTAGCTACCATCGTTAAAAAACATGCTATTTTTTTGTTTGTTTTAAAATAAGGGTTTGCCATAATAATGAGTCCACTAATAAATAAAAAATTTTCATTAATCTAACTTACATTAAATATAAATTTATACTTATTTAGATTATTTTGCTTAGCCAAAGTTAAGAAAATTTTCTTAGTTTTTGATAACTTCAAAATTTGTATAAATAGAAATCTTTTAACCCAACCTATTTTCTTTATTCAAATGCCAGTGGAAGTAGACCAAAAATAGGAGATTATGTAGCTTTTGGAATAATCCACAAATTTTTTAAAATTAAACACTATCTCTAGATTTGCATGTAAACGTTTCTTATGATATTGATTTTAAACTGTCAGATATCATCTATACTAGTCCCAACTATACCGACTCCATACTGTGCTACGACCTCAATGTTCTGCCGCTTTTGGTATTAAATAGCAACAAAAAAGAGCGGCCGATGATTTTCTGATGAATAATAACAGTAACGTAATGTATGATATATAGCGCACGGACATACCATTTAACTTACTTATTTATTTACCGTTATTATGCAGTCCACTTCATAATAATCATAATATTATTGTGTCTATTAATATTCGAAATAATTCTTGTGGGATTGAATCATCTATCCACAGATCTAACAAGCACTATGTAATCTATAACTTATAACTAAATCTCAAAAGTCACAAAAATGTGGTTTTAAGAAATTTATAACTTGTATAGAAAGGATGATTTTTTAAGTATATAATAATTTATTTTTCATAAAAAATAGATTCAAATTTAGTTAATTTTTAAAAACTATAGTAAAAATAAATCTAGCTTATTTAAAATAAACTTGTATAGTTGCAGCCACCGAACAGTGACTATTGCTCCGAAGAAGAACTATGAATTGAGTCCGAACGTCAGCACTCAACTACAAACATGGATACATTCTCAAGGACTTCAAATCATATGACAATCAATGAAAGCTTTAACACATTCATAAATAAATATTAATTGATTTTATCAAATTACTATAAATAATTACACCACTGAATATAATCATGACTTCTTTATAAGCGCGCGATGTTTTATCAATGTTATCAATACAGGAACCTATAATTAATATTGTACTACTAAATGGAGAATAATTTAAATAAAATTGTATATGGTCGATAACCAGTATTGTATTATTACTTTTTGAGTTTTTATAATTATTAGTAATAGGCAAGCAAATTAAATAAATTAAAATCCTTTAAAATTCCTCAATATTTAATTGATGACTTAAAATTAATTATATCAAATAAAGTGTTCAATATACAAATTGAGTCACCATGGTAGATTTAATATCTTTTCAACTTTCTAATGAAATTATAATTTGTTATAACGCAAAATCATATACTTCTTTTTATCGCATTTAGCTTCGATGCGAAGCTAAATGTACTATTGACTATGCGTAAAACACTGATACAGTGACACAAGTATTACTTCAGAAGGGCAGCTGCACATATAAAAGCTTTTGGGATTCACAGAAATCGTGCCATAATAAGAGTGTCCCAAAAGTCAGATGACTTTTTACTATCATCGACTACGACTGTTACCCATATAGTCTAAGATATTAACTTAACTTAGCTATTACCGACATAATGCGAGAGAAGAAACTGACAGTACTCTACACACGCACTTCCGGTGCGAGGTACAACTATTTGGAGTTTTTTTACCAACTCTCCCAATATAACGAGGAGAGTGCACACCACATTGTAAATTAGCTCTTGATTAACTTCACACTGATTCACAACGTAGTAGTGTGAATTATAGAGACGTCGTGAGCTAACCTGAAGTAATGCCAACAACAACAGTTCCGGCGTAGCTCACAATAATGCGGGTTGTAGAAAAAGTACCAGTTGTCCCAAACACTGTTAATTATATTCTATTGTGTGGCAGCTGATCTCTAACGTATTTGCTTTACTTACCCCTTGCCCACCACAGTAAATCAATAGTCTATGTGTACATTTTAATAAGTATTCAAGGGCCCCCCGCTATACCCTAAATTTAAGATTAAAAAAACTCATTGACCCTTTAATATATGTGGTTATTTGTTATTTGATTGCCTATTCTCATTATATATTGGATGTGCGGTTATTCGTCATCCACACAGGTGACCCTTCTCTCGCTTTAATAATAGTGATTTAAAATCGCTTAAAGTAAAACGGCATTCTAGTACGGTGCACAAGTATCCGTCTTACGGTCTACCTGTCTCGTACAAAACAAACAAAAAGAGAAACAAATTATTTATGTATACTTTCATTTGAAAAACTAAAGTTGACACTTTTATAAAATATCTTTATTTTAAAATATTTTTATTTTGATATTTAAAATATCAGAGAAAAATAAAAAATACCCATGGTTAATCGATTAAAAAAAATATGTATCCAAAAGACAATTTCAAGTAGTTGGGATTAATGTGAAGTAAAAGAAGAAAGTCGCATATAAAAGAAACCAAAAGAAAACATGTATAAATAGAAGTTTTATTTTTTAATTATTTTAGTGGTTATGATAAAATCATATAATAAGAAATCACACGATCTTTAGCAAAAATACATTTTATAATGACAAATATCGACAATATACTTTATAAGTATCATATGTATAAATTATTTCATATCTAAACATTTATTATTATTATTTTTTTTGTCTTTTATTAATTTTAAAATGGTTGAATAAATTATTGATTACGATCGTAATTGAATTACTATAAATATTTTTGGAAAATAAATATCTACCATACTAAAAAAGTTATCAAATATTACAAATCTATTATGTTAATTCTTTCGAATTCTGCGTCAATTAACATAAAAATATGCTGAAATTTTTCCTCTAATTCCTTCTCACATATCAGTTTAAATTTGTATGTCTCATTGTCTCCGTGAGGTTTCGAAAATCCTTTAAATATTTTATCTAATCCATTTTGTGATAGAATGTGGTCATTCTTAATATTATTACATCTAAAGTTTTTTTTTAAATTTTCAATTTCTTGGGGCGTAAAGAAATACTCTGCATAATTATTTACTAATTTTTGAAAAACACACATTGTAGCACATCCATTAAATGCATATTTAATATCATTATTAAGTCCTTCATTAATTTTATCTAATCCTATTCGTAATTTTTCGTCTCCATCCAAAAGATATAGTGCATCACCCAATTTTTTAAAATTATTTATGAATTGGTCCCAATATAGTGTTTTACAATAATCAATTCTCAGTGCCTCATAGGCATATACCATTAGCAAAATCGCAAACTTAAAAATTCGATCACACATGATTTTTATTGCTTTTTTAAGAGTGAATTTAATATCTATCCTGTGCATTGTTGAATTAAGAATGAAATCGTTTATTGCTGTATTGGGCAGTGTAGGAAAATACGATTGAACAAGTTCTTCTTTGACATATCTCCATAAAGACAAATTCTCAAGATTGCTTAGTTGTATTCTGGTATATTTAGCATAGACCGTATCATTTATTAAAGATATATTATTATCTAGTTTACTGGTCTGTTAAAAAAAAATTAAATTTTTTATAAAATCATACTTAATTTCCTTCCCATTTTAATAGCATATTTTTTAGGATATATCTTAAAACATTTAAGGCTGCAAACTTTTAATTTATGTTAAAAACTAAAATATATTTTTTTATTAGTTTTTATATAAAAACTAAAATATATCTTTTTATGAGTTTTTATATAAATAACAATGTCATCAATTTTGTTTACCCCATACCCCTCTACTGCTAGTGAAATCAGAGAAACTTTAGTGCTGAATAAATGACTAATGTGGTCATCAAATACAAATGTAGATACACGAATAGTCAGTCTGTAGCAGTTGACATATTATAAATAAAAATCAAATTGTAATATCTATCAATTATAACTTTAATTTAACTTGTATAATAAATCATAAAGCTCAGTGCTTTTGGGACACTTAACTATAGTGAACTTCAATATAAATTAAAATCATATAGAATTATTTACCAATATCATACTGCGCTCGCGTAAAATTGTACAAAAGAAAATTCGTTGGGATGTTTTTATTTTAAAGCATATTGTTAAAATGTGACAACATTTTTATATTTTCTCAATACAAAAAAATGATCAATTGATGTCTTTAAATAAATTTTGCTATATGCTTGTAACTAAAATATTATACAGCAAACGAATGTATATTCAATAAAAATAGAACGCCCACATTGACTTTCATTGATAGTAATATTTACCATTATTATGCGCTTTAATGCCATTATGCATAAAAAATTTTTTGAAATAATAATAAAAAAATATAATGAAAAATGTACAAATTTGATTTCAGCCACCAATACTCTAAAAAGAACGGAATAAAGAAACAAAATTTTTACATTAAACAAATAATAATTTTTACATTTTTACAGTTAGCATTTTTTTTTATTAATTTTATTTTTTTATTAACATTATTTTTGTAATTTTTTGCCTGTTCCGTAATGAGTCCTGTATTTACTTTAAATAAAGTTTAATTGGGCAAGATTAAAATTATTAATTAAGTACACACGTAGACATATTTATAAACTCACTTGAATTTTAATTATTTCGATTATACTTCGCTTGTTTATTTCCCACATAAATGAATCTAGTTTTTGATTAATTTCTTCTACTATAATAAAAATATTTTTCAGTTTTGTTACATGGCATTTCTTTTTTGTCATGATGAGACATTAATATGTTTCAACAGATGACATAAGGATTAACATTCCCTACACTTACCGTTGTATTTGAAAATGATATCTTTTCCATTGTAATTTAAAATAATGTGTTTTTCTTCGAATGTCTTAAAAATATAAATAACAATGATTATAAAAAATAAAATAAATTTATTTATCCTGGAATGTTAATAAGTATAATTGAATATTACATTTAAAAAAATTTTCGTCCAAAAAATGTTTAGAATACAAAAACGATTCTAAATTTCAAATATTTGTTCCATTTAGGTTTTCTATAAGTTCTAATAAACCAACCACAGTAATTTCGACATGATAAAATGTTTTAAAGTATGCTAAAAAAACTGATTAATCTGTTCATACAAACAATCTCAAGTATATTTTTTACATAATGTAATTTAATCCAAATGACTGTTGAATCTTAACCTAACATATCTGATAGTGATTAGCATCATTATTAAGATGCAATTATAATTTATCGAATTATTTTTGTTAAAAAAATTAGAATAATTTTTCATGCTTTTCGTCATACAAACTTTTTATTCGGAACAATTGTATAACTTGACAAACTATATATAATATGTTTGTTTACTAAGAATATATTAGATATCGATTATGATGTTTTCGGGAAACCTAACCAAACAAAAAGTCCTTCTTCAAAGTGATAGTTACTCGTTAATGGTTGAAACTATATTGTTGGCTTAGCATATATACGGTTTGGTAATTTTTCATTGGTTCCAGAAAATACGCAAAAAGGAAAAACTAGCTATGTAGTAAGCACTACAAAATAATGGATATACAATCACNGTAAGCACTACAAAATAATGGATATACAATCACAAACTTAAACAACACACTTACGCAAGCAGAAAAAAAAAATCAAAATCAATATTGCACAACGTGCAGCAATGTTAATGAAAATAAAGGAACACAAATACTGTCGTAAATACAAGGAATTACCGATTGAATTTCAAAAATCACAGATAAATTCAAAATATGAACCGTTCTCAAACCGAACAAAGTTTAAAATAACTACTCCGAAAACCGAAAAGCCATCTATCAGAAATGTTTGTATTACTTAAGCAAGCAGAAAAAAGAGAATCAGAATCGAAATTGTACAACGTGCAGCAATGTTGATGAAAATGAAGAAGATGATAATAAAGGAACACAAATACTGTAGTAAATACAAGGAATTACCGACCGCATTTCAAAAATCACTGATAAATTCAAAATAAGAACCATTCTCAAACTGAACAAAGTTTTAGGATAACTACTCCGAAACCAGAAAGGCCATCTATCAGAAATGCAAAAACCCAGAGTTTATGAAATACTGTATTAATATGGTAAGTCATTCATTGGACAAACATGAAAAGAATAAAACAATAAGAAAAAAACTTAGATTACCAAAGGAAAGATAAATCCGCGGTAGCTGATCACGCCAAAAGCAGTGGACACGAGATCCAATTTGATAAAGTCAGAATATTGAACTAAGAAGCTAATTTTAGCAAACGGATGTACAAAGAAGCAAATGAAATAAAAACTGTGCAGAAAATTACAACAGAGAAGATAAATGAACTTGATTTTCTATCATACACCAACATCAATCAACCATGGTGTTGTGTTATATTACTTAGGGGAAAATGAACAATTTGATACCTTTAAGCTTTTATTAAACGTATTAAAGAAAATATTCACCATAAGAACTTAAAATTTGGAAAAAAATATTTCTTGATATGTTTAAATCACTTGATAAAAAGCTCACTAATTCATTTCAATCGTATTTAAAATTTTAATTAGTTAGAAAGAATGGTCAAATTCGACACCTTGCTCAACACTTGTGTGTAAAGTAAGTTTTATTATTGGGTAAGCTAATATACATTAGCATAATTAATGTTACGCTTAAAGAATTTATTATATGTGTAAATTTTGGAAGTATTATTGATTTTTTAATTGGTTTACGGTGTAATAAAACAAAAAAAATATTTGGAATGAAAAATTTCCATCTGGGATCTTAAAATTTTGAATTATAATTTTCCTTCATAT